TATTGTCTTGCATGGACTTATACTCCTCCTTCATTGCTTCGATCCACTTTTCGAGTTAGAACCTTGCATGGCTTGACGGAAGTTAACCGGGTCATCTTCCATCATACCATTGTTTTCTTCATGTTCCCGAAGAAATACCATGTAATCATCCGAAATAGCACTTCTTCTTTCTCTAGTGGATCTCCGCAAAGTTATTGGCTCATGATGCACGAGGTTCTTGAGGATCTTGAGTTTGTTCTTCATGAACAACCAAATCATCTTGAGTAAGGGGTTCATTAACAATGCCTTGTGGAGGTTCCGAACTTACTTTATCAAAAGTAACTCGTTTGAATCGGCTTCGGAATTGTTACCGATTCTTCCTCTAAGACAAAGTTCCCGATTTTATTCTTCCCCCCAAACTCAATATCCTCAAAAACGTAGCAGCTTCCGTCTCAAAAATTGTCTTTAATGTGGGATCATAAAATTTATATCCCCTGGATCTTTCAAAGATAACCAATAAAATAACTACTTACCGTTCGGGAGTCCAATTTCTTTTCATTTGGCTTATAAGGCCTTGCCTCACTGGACATCCCCACACATGGAAATGCTTCGGACTAGGTTGTCGCCCAGTCCAAAGCTCATAAGGTGTTTTGGTCGCTGCTTTAGTTGGTACTCGTTTAGAATATAAGTCGTCGTCTTTAGTGCCTCTCCCGCAGTGACTCCGGTAAGTTGGAATGACAAATCATACTCCCGACCATATCTTTAAGAGTTCGATTTCGTCTTTCAGCCTACACCATTCATGCTAGGTGATCCCGACATGGTATACTGTGGGATAATTCCACACTCCTCTAGGTACCTGGCAAAAGGTCCCGGACGTTGTTCACTCGACCGTCAAATCCGCCATAGTACTCACCACCACGATCGGATCCGACGAGACTTAATTCTTTTATTGAGTTGATTTTCAACTTCAGACTTTAAATGTTTTGAACACGTCTAGAGATTGTGACTTTTCATGTATAAGGAATAAGTATGCATATCGTGAGTAATCGTCTATGAATGATATAAAGTATTGTTGACCATTCCACGAAGGTGTAGGAAATGGCCCACAAATGTCCGTATGTATCAACTCTAAGACGTCCGTAGCTCTATATGCACCTAATCTTTTCGCTTTGGTCTCGTTTGCCCTTAATGCATTCAACACAAACATCAAAATTTGTGAAGTCAATGGACTCTAAGATTCCAGTTGACACAAGTCGTTCAATTCTATTTTTAGAGATGTGACCTAAGCGCCTGTGCCATAATGCTCCTGAGTGAGTATCATCAATTTTACGTTTAGTACCCCGTGATTCCGTATTAAGGGTTTCATTATAGGTGGTCACGATATCAAGTAAATATAGATTATCATAAGGCAAAAGTGAACCAGTTCCAATAATATCCGAATTAAAAGACAAACCGAACTTATTGTTTCCAAATGAACACAAATAACCTAATTTGTCCGGATAATAAACCGAAACCAAATTCCGTCTAAATGACGGCACAACAAAAGTGTCTTTCAAATCCAAATAAAAACCAAGTACTCAATAACAATTTAAAATGCCCTATGGCTTCCACCTCTACCGATTTTCCATCTCCAACATATATCCATCTTTCGTAATCAATTGGCTTCCAGGTAGCTTAGGCAACCCTTTATAGAAACACCGATGTTAGTAGTTGCACTCGAGTCTAACCACCAAGTGTTACTAGGTATCGACGCTAAATTGACTTGAGCATGCACTCAAAGTAGGAAACATACTTTTAAGGATCGTAACATAATTTAAATTGGCGATATACAGAAGCAATTGTAGATTGGATTAGAACAAAAGAAATAAACTAATTATGTTCACATTAAAAAAAAAAAATTATAAATAAAATATATATTCAAATAATGGTTTAACCCATCTCAAGACACCCAATGCACCATCAATATCAAGTCTTTGGACAAGTAATATTAACTCGCTAGAGGTATCTTGTTGTAATAATCAAACATTGACAATAAAGCACGTCCAACAACAAACCAGTCTTTGGATTGATTTATCATCGATAAAGCTAATCTTTATAATTATCACATGTTTATCATTACAAGTGTATATGCAATTCGGCCAAATATTAATCTTCCTTTGGGCCGACTAATACTCGCATGAATATACACAAACACTAACATTTAATATTTTTCACGAACTACCCAATTCAAGAGATGTTACTTTGGTAACTTCTTGACTCAATTTGCTCACAAAAAATATTAAACTACCAAACAAATTGAATATATTAATAAGGGTAACCCTAAACCAAATTAAGTCTCAAGGACCACTTTTAAAAAAAAAAATTGTACTATAATGCCACATATGATGGGTTTTTTTTTTTTTTAAGGTTGCGGGTCCCACAACATTAACATCATCATATTCCCTTTTTAATTAAGGCAGCGGGTCCCACATTTTATTTCCTCTCTCCTCGAAATCCTCCATTCTCTCCCCAAGTTCATCCACGCGCAACAAAATCTCAACTTGCACGCTCCTATAATTCTCGCCCACCAACCAACGAAACCAGTTGAGTTGCCACAAATATTGCAGGAATCCATGAAGAAGACTTAAAATTCTCAATGTCGTGAGGTTGAAGCGGAAGGTGGCGGAGGAGGGTGAGGGACAGTCGATGGGGAAGGAGCACGTGTCGAAGAGAGAACCCCCGAGGACGTAGAGGTGGGGCCCGTGAGGCACCGCGGCGAAGTTGCAAAGGCCGTACACGTGAGGATTGCAGGGCATGGGAGGTAGTGGGCACCAGGCGATTGTTGCTGGAATCAGCCTCCGAAGCACTTGCCTCGTGATCCAGTGTCCAATGAAGACGAAGGAGCAGTGTCTCCTCCAGGAGCAGAAGCAGTTTGGGGATTTCACCCTCAAATTCGAAATTAGGTTTTAAAATTGGGGATTTTACCCTAAATTTAAATCTAGGATTCGCAAATTTGGAGATTATTCTCCACTTAAATTCTTAAATCTCAATTTTGTTAAATCTAATTTTCAAATGCAAACATGAATCAAGTATGGGTTGCTCTGATACCAATTGTAAGGTTAAACTGTAATTGAATATGATCTTCTTCCTTATGATCAAACATACATATATAATCCCATACTGTAAACATGTTATGAACTAAATGCGAAAGCGTACCTGAATTATCCATAATGATGATATTCTTTGTAGAGCACCTTTGATTTGATCTTATGGTCTTTCACCTGAAGAGCACCTGTATTTCCCTATTGATTTTCTCTCTTGATGGGGATAGAAAGAAAAGAACGAGACTGTAAATGTATTTTTTCTGTGTGCTCTCAGAAGGGGACCATGACCCTTTATATAACCAAAATTAGGTTAATTACTTAAGTTTTAGTATTTCTAATTTGACCCCTCATCAAATTAGAAATTACTTTATGGTCTCTACACAATCAAATTTTCATGACATATGCCTTTAGCCAAAACTTTAATTTATTTAGATCACTTAATTATTTGACTTAATAAATAATGACCCTAACACATTTAAATATGTATCATATATATACATGACCCAAAATTTGTCAACAAGGAGAAGCCAAATATGAGTTGAACTAAAATTAGTTGTGAAGAGATTGAAAAAAGACAAAGAAATTAAGAATAAATGGATTGGAAGTAGAGTGAAGTGAAAGAACACATTATGTAATATGAGAAAATAAAGGGTAATATAAAAAGACAAAAAGGATAATGTGAAAAAACTAAGGATAAAGTGAAAAGACAGAGGGTTATATATCGGGATTTAAATTTAAATATATATATATATATATATATATATATATATATATATATATATATATAACATTAAAAAGGAAAAGAAGACAAAGAGACAAAAAGTTAATATTTTAGAATTTAGGTTTAAATATAAAGTTGGGACGAAGACGGGGATGAAATCGAGTTGTGGATTACATTACTCATCCCGAACCCGATTTCTTAAAGCGGGAAAAACTTGAACCCGATCAACTCGGTTTTTCCTCGTCGATCTCGGGCGAGGACGAGTTTGGAAAAAAAATCATATATTTAATTTTATTTTGAGAATTCTTTTGAAGTTTTATCATTAAGAATTCTTTACAAATTCTTATTTCATTATTTTTATAAGTTTTATATAAGTCATATATTTAAAAAATATTTTAAAGTAAAAGAGTGTGATAGATTACACACATTTTTATGACATTACTAGTTGTGCGAATAAAATATTGTTTAATTTGTCAATAATACATTAATATATTTATCATTTAATTAATAAATAAATAATAATTTGTTTTAGTTATTTAATTAAAAAATGCTAATAAATTTATTTTTTAATAAAATAAAAATAATATATTACTTAGTAATAATATTGATAATTAAGTGCTATTTTTAATATATTATTAAATAATCCATTATTATTTTAATTAAATTTTTTTATCATAGTACTTCTTTAATTGAAAAATATTATTGTACTAGTTATGTAATTAAAAATAATAATTTACTAGTTATTTATTAAATAAATGTTAATCCATTAATTATTTATTTAATAAATATTAATATTTTATAATTAATAAATGTTAATCTATTAATTATTTAAGCAATACATATTAATGAATTTATTATTAATGAATAAATGTTAATTATTCAATGAACAGATATTAATATTAAAATCATCGATATTTTTTATGTATTTAATTTTATTAGAAAAAAATAAACCATTTTGCCTGTGATTAAAGGTAACGAATAGTTTTGATTATATACCAACTTGCATGAGTAGTATGAAATAATCTATTAATTATTGAATCAATACATATTAATTAATTTCTTATTAATGAATAAATATTATCAATAAATATTAATTGGCAGAATCAGAAGATTTATTATTATTTATGGTATGAGTGCTGGCATGTATCTTTAAGTAGTGTTGCTAATGCATTGTATGAGAGCATAAGAAAAGAGAGAGAGAAGAAGACATTTGAAGAATGGGTTCTAAGATGAGTGGGCAAAGCATTTTGGTGGGAATACTGTGCATTGCTTTGGTGTTGGTTTCAGGTAAGAAAAAGATATGGTTAATATGAATGAGTGTATATATATATATATGATGATAATGAAATTAAGAATGCAATGAGATATGAAGGTTTTGTGTTGCAGGAGAAGCATCGATAAGAAGGGATGAAATTAATTTGGTTTACTGCGCACAGCCAGGTGAAGGGCAGTGTAAAGATATCACTCTCTGCACCCAATTTTGCCTCAGTCGCAACCTACACGGCGGTGGGATCTGTAGATTTGACCAATGTTGTTGCAAAGGATAGATCTTTCTTCTCTTATTCGTAATAATCAAATTATGTACTCAATTCAATAATCTAATGCAATTCACTATATTTTCTACCATCTCTTCCATTAATATATTACATATTTATTTTACCTAAACACAAACCATAATACCACTATCAATTTTTAATATTTATTTATACTTAATTTTTCATCATCATTATTCATCAATAATTTTGACGAGACTAAATCACGTATTATTAATAAATAATAAAAAAATAAAAAAATAAGAAAGTAAAATTATAAATAGATATATTTAATAATTATTAAATTTAGATATCAAAATAAATCATGTAATCCCTTAATAAAAACTCCTCAAATGACTATACATGTGTTTACGGTGAAAATTAGGTTTATTTCGATTTCCTAAAAATTTAAGTTCTAACCAAATTTTAACCACGTAAATTTTTTTATTTGGGCTAGCAAATAGTTTTCAATAAAAAAACATGTATGTAAATCGAAAATGCCACAATATCGAACCAATTGGAAAATAAAGCATGCATATTAGAAACGCGGAAAACGCAACATAGCATACATACTGAAATCAAAAGTTTTCTTTTTGTATTTTTATTTAAGAAACTCGAGAATATGAAGATTAATAACAGAAGTAAAGTAAACAGTAAAAGGACATCGAGGCAACAAAGTAATACATCAAATTAAATTGCACTAAGAGTAAATGACATAAATTAAAGTACGCAAAAAAGTAATCGACGTTGCAGGAAAATAAATTAAACGTGCGAGTAGATAAATTATTGAGAAAGTAAAGAAAATATTAAAATTGCATAAATGTAAACGACAATGAATTGAAATAACAAGAAAGTAAAGACACATGAAATTAGATTGCATTAAAGATAAAATATCAGGAAAAGTATAGAAAACGGTAACAAAACTCAATGAAAATGGAAATCTAGATCGCGAGAAACTTCGTGATTCGTTATTTTCCGGTAGACTTTTTACTTGTGTTTCTGTTGTCTCTGCCAATTTCTCTTTCCTCTTCACGCTTCATTCTATTTATAGGCTCATTTCAACGTAACCTCCTAAGAGCGGTTTAGAAACCGCTACCACGTTCCCATGCATGAGACAACTGCTCTTTCGATCTTCGATTTTTAGCCACGGTTTAGAAAACTGTTTCTCACGTTCCACGTGCGCGTTTAACTGTCCCTCGATTTACACCTTAGCCACGATTTAGAAAACCGCTTCCCATGTTCCATGTGCGCGTTAACCGTTCTTCGGTTTCCAACTTAGCCACGATTTAGAAAACCGCTTCCCATGTTCCATGTGCACGTTAACCGTTCTTCGATTTCCAACTTAGCCACGATTTAGAAAACTGCTTCCCATGTTCCATGTGCCCTTTAATCGTTCCCTTGATCTCGACCTCAACCATCGAGTATTTTAAACTGCTTTTGACTTCCCACTTAGCCTCTCACTCAATACCTATAATCGATTTTTTTTTACCTCTTCAATCATGTTCATCGAATTCTTTTTTCGATTGTCGATTCGATTCTCGATTTTTCCCACCAACAACATGATATATACTATATTGTTAATTATTTTAATATTTAAAAAATAAAGTGTATAATAAAATGTTAAATATGTCAAAATGTGTTTTTCGGATAACTATTATGTCATCAATAATATCATATATTGTCTCATGTTTTTCTTACTCACATTTCATGTTAAAGAAATATGTTTGAAAATTTATCAAATATAGATTATATAGATTTTACTGCAAACCAAAATTTTCTAACATCCCAAATGTGATTATATATATATATATATATATATATATATATATATATATATATATATATATATATATATATATATATATACTAAGCAAGTTACCTACCCACTAGTGTCTCCATCTCTAACCAAAGCCAACCAAACTATTCATCTTTCTTTCCGTCCTCACTCCCTTGATCAGCAACTACAAATGAACACCAGCCTGCATAACCTTTTTCTGTCCTGTAGAAATGGATTGTGAGTTGAAACTTTACTTGCACACGAATAATATTTGCTCTTTAATAACTTAGATAGACTAATCGTCTTTTATCCTGCACCTTCCCATTAATCCATAGAAGAGTCTTGATTAGAGTGAGAACTGCGCATTGGTATCACATATTCGATCATGAAGAAAGAAATTATTAAACTGGCCATGCCAAAAAAGAAGCAAGGAACCTCATCCCAAGGCAACTGTTCCAAGAATCATAACCTCATGGACCACTTGTAATGCATGGTGAGGAAAAGGTGGAGAAGTACTCGAAGGAGAAAAGGAGGTGGAGAAAGGAGGTGGAGCGATAGGAGAAGCTTTGCAACTTCAACATCGAGCGAGAGAAAATAGGGATTTCTCCCAACACTCGAAGACTGAAAGTCATGCTTTTGATAGTGTGTGTTGAAACTTGAGGTAAGAGATCTAGTGTGGCGGCAGTTATGGCTTGTTGCTGGAATGAGCAGTACTAGAAGGAGCAAGAGGACCCACAGTATAAGAAGAAGCCACCGTCGCCATTGCAGAAAGTTAAATTCCCTTCGCTCTCTTGTTTCTTTGGAAAAAGAATAAGAATGTTAAGAGAAAAGAATGTGAATCGGCTTAGCGTCGTCATTGCATTTTCACGTCCCACCTGATAAGGGCGAAAGTAAAAATCGATTTTTACTTCAGATAAAAGATCACCCGATAAAAAAAAAACGACTTTTTACATCGGACTTAAGAGATTTGAAGTAAAAATTGTGTTCAATATTTACAAAAATGTCAATGTATTTATTTGAAGTCTAATATTTTTAGGTTCCACAAAAGATAAGTGACCTAAAAAAAACCCTTTTACACTCGTGTTAACACATATATAATTATAAACTCATTTAGTTAACTCAATAAATTAAAACTAAATACACATAAATGTCACTTTATCCGCACATATTTAATCATAAACCTACTTAATTAACTCAATCAGTAGAACTAAACATATACAAACGTAACAATCTTATACTATAATATTATCATATTTTTAGTCGATGTGTGATCTCATTACAATCTCTCGTTACAAGAAAATTTTATTCACCATTATCCCTATCTCGAGAGAAATTTTTTATCATATCTTCTTATTTTAAGAATAATTTTTTTATTATACTCCCTCACCTCGAGAATATTTTTTATTACACCCCTCATCTTGAAGGGGATTTTCATGTACAATATTCATAGAGTTCACTTTGATACTATATTAGAAATGGTGAGAGTAACTAACTCCGTACAAAATCAAATCATTAAAGTGTGTACATTTTTATTTATTTTTTATAATTAATCATAATTAATTCATCCACGATTTGAATTTTGTTTATAATATTTGCAAGACCTTCCTCAAGTGGGTGCTTGAAGATTTTGGATGTCAACTCACTAAGGAAGAAAATTATGTATGCCTTAAAGCTTTGGTAAATATTTATGTAAGTTATGCATGAGTGGAGACATATTCATTGCAACAAAAATGTCAATTTACTTTAATATATTTGGTACGTTAATGAAATATAAGATTCTTAACTATGTGTAAAACAACTAGACTATCACAATATAAACACACAGGTGTTGAATGAGAAATACCAAGAAAATGGTTTTTACCCACTTTAGTTAACTTGTGGTAGTAGCCATTGAATAATATTATGCTTCAGAGAAACAAGATATTGTATGTTGTTTTTGTCTTCCAATAAATAGGAGAATTTCTCAAGAAAATATCCCAATATGTAAGAGACCTACGAGTGATTTTCTTTTAGATATCGAATAACACGAAGAGTGACTTCCCAATGTTTTATGTGTGATTGTAAATTGTGAAAAAATATACATACAATATGTCAATTCAAGGCAATTTAAACACAAATAAATCAACAAACTAACCAAACATCTATATTGATTAGGATTAAAAAGAAATTCACTTTTGACAATACCAAGATGATGATTTTGTTCCATTAATGTTGTGGTGTTCAAATAAATTCAAAATATTATCGAGTTCTAGGTTTAATACCTAAGCCATTTTGGGACCGCCTCAAGGTTGAAGGATTGTGTGGTATCAATCATGAGACATCGACCTTTTTTTTAATTGATATCAAATAATTAAAGTTAAACTCTAAAATCTCGATAAAGATCATGAAATCCCAAAAATTTCACATATAAATAGAATAATTACCACGATTCTTGCGCTACTAGAATCAAGTCATTTTATGTACATAATGACAAGATATCAAGGTCCAAGTCTCTTAAGATTAAACCCGATTTGTAATAGCTTAATAAAAGGTAAATTTAGGATAATGATACATTTTTACTCACTCGGGTCTAGTCATGATTCTTACCATTTTTGGCAAGAAGTAATGTCCAATTATTGGCCTCATTTTTCCTCTTAATCCTAATGATTGACCTTCTAAGGAGAGTCATTGACATTTGACATTTTTTTACAAGAGTTTAAGCATCAACATCTTTGCCTCAATGCTGAGGAGTTGAGTAATGTCCAGATATGATCAGATTATTACTGAGTTCTAGGTCCAATCTAAACCTTTTCAATTCTGCTCAAGACTGAAGGGTTGTTTGGCACCAATCCCAAAGTCTATTAGGATTAAACCAAACTCGTAATAGTTTAATAAAAGGTAAATTTAAGTCAAAGACAAGTTTTTAATCACGTGGGTCTAGTCAAAATTCCTACAAGTTTTTACAATAACAAATGTATACATAAACTTTGTTCCAAGTAGTTTAGTGTCATTAATAATGTCTATAACATACTTTTTTTTGACATAAGAAAATACCAACAGCTGATTTAGCCACTTCTACCTTTAAGAAATATTTCAATTTTTTCAAATCTTTCATTTGAAACATTGGCTTAACTAATCTTTGAACCATTGGATAACTTCATGATTGTTTTCACATATGATTAAATAAGGGTTAAGTATGTTTTTAGTCCCTGTACTTTCATGTGAAATTAGAAATAGTCCCTCTATCAAAGTTCACATA